TCCTCCTCCTCCTCCTCCTCCTCCCTCCTCCTCCTCCTCCTCCTCCTCCTCCTCCACTTCGAGTCCTCCTCCCTCCTCCTGCCTCCTCCCTCTCCCTCTCCCTCCCTCCCCTCCTGCTCCTCGTCCTCCGCTGCCTCCTCCACCCTCCCCCTCTTGGGGCATGATATCTTGCCCAGCCCTTTACTCCCCTGCATTCTCCTCCACATCCCTGATCAGGGCAACTCCTCTGGGCGTCGTGTCTGGATGGGCTGGCGGGGTTGCGCGAAGCGTCCAGGAGGAGGAGGACGACGACGACGACGAGGAGGAGGAGGAACTCTGGCGGTGGACCTCTCGGCGGCACCCGGCGCTCCGCCGCACGGCCCCTCCTTTCCCGTACTTGATCTGCCCTGGCCCTCGAGCAGAGGAGGCCAGGCCGCTCCGCAGGGAGGCCGGAGGCCTCCGAGGCGGCGCCCCCTGGGGGAGAGGGCGGGGAGGGCTTCTTGAAGGGCCCTGGGACCCACAAATGAACACACACAAACAAGAGGATGCCCCATATTTCCCCCCCCCCACACTGCCCATAGTTTCCCATATGTTCTGCTGCGGAATCCACGATTAGTCCTGTCTTGTGTTTTTTCCCCTCCTGACTTCTGCCCCCCCCCCCCCCAGCGCCGTGTGCGCTTTGCCGAGGCGGGAGGAGGCGGAGGAGGCAGGAGCGTCTGGGGGCCATCCTGGCCCCCGTTCGCGCGAAGACGCGGAGAAGAACTCGTTCGGCGCCCACGAGCACGCGCTCGGGTGAGCGCGGCCACGGCCGGATTCAGCCGCAGAACCGATACCGAAAGCGGCTGAGTAGAGGCAGGAGAAGAGGGAAGGAGAAGGCACCGGCAGCAACGCTCCCGCGGGCCTCGCCCAGGGGGCGAGTGCTGGCCCAAAAATCCCGAGGCGAAGGCGAGCTCGTGGCGGCGAAGGCCCCTCTGGGGAGGCCCAGAGAGGCGAAGACGAGAGAAGGGCCTCGGCACGGTCGTACCGTATGATAAGAATGAGCGGTAAGGAAGCAAGGGACTTGGAGGCTTTGACAGGACAGGAGCCTGCGTGCCGGCTCCCAGAGGAGCGGTCCCCGAAAGGGCAGGCCGTTCAGCCGTGTAGCTGCAGCGGGCACACGTTCACGGCGAGTAGAAAACAGAGAACCACAACCTTCTCAATTACGAAAGGTGTCACCCCATCTCAAGCAGGGCCTTCCGACTGAGCGTTTGGCTACAGTTCTGAACCAAGGGTCTTGGAGGGCCATGTTAACGTCTTTCGAGCGAGGTCGGCCAGCGAAAGTCGCTGAGGATGGGCCGAAGGGGCAAGGATGCAAGGGCAGCCTTGGAAAGCCCCCATCCTTATTATGCGGGCTGGCTGTACGTTGCGACGGAGGCACGAAGAAGGCACAAATAGGGGGCCACCTGCGAACCCTGCCCCTTCCCACACACGATTTCTGATGGGGGGGCTGGGGTTCACCGCGTTCGGGAGCTCCCGAGCGAAGCGAACCCCAGCCTCCCCCTCGGAAATCGTGGGGGCGCAGGGGCAGGGCTCGCATGTTTACCAGCCTGGAACATATCCCTATCCCTATGCTGGGCATCTCCTCATCACGATGCCAATCTTAGGGATTCCCTCATTTCTTGAGGGCGAATCCCTAAGATTGTCATCGCCTTTTGGCGTGTCAGTCTTAGGGATAGGGATACATTCGAGGCTGGTAAGCGTGTGGCCCCCTAACAAAGTTGGGCATCTCTCTGGGGACGGCGGGTCTGGAGAGTGCACCCGGCGCCGCAGCAGTGCCGGAGCGCCCCAGGGCGCTCCCGAGCGCACTGGGAACGGTTCGCCTCCGCCTCGGGCCTCTCTGATTGTGTCTTTCGACACCCAAATAGATACACACAAATAACAGGACTCCCCATACTTTCCCACATGTTTTGGATTTTCGTCTCCCCCCCCACTTCCCATAGTTTCCCATGTTTCCTGGGAATCCACGATGAATTGTGTCTATGTTTTGCTCCCTCCTGATCCTCCTCTGAAGATGGAAGCTTCCCAGATGGGGCCCGAGCAGATGGGGTTGAGGATCACACCGCGTCGGCGATGCATCGGCGATGCGTCGGCGGCGGCGGGATCGAGAAGCTCGAGCTTCAGATCGTGCCGCGTCGCCGATGCATCGCCTATGCGGCACGACCCTGCGAACCCACGTGGGGCAGTGGACTGGACCGTGCATAGGCCCAGGCTGATGAGCGGGTCACACTTATCCGCTCCTGCCAATGGGTGCTGGGGAAGGCGCGTGGGGCATCAATTCCACTCCCGTATGGGCGTTGTTTTGAGGTAACCACATATGAACCCTGACCCTGAAGGTCAGGGCTATGAAACGCCAGCTGGTGTTCAGAACAGGGCGCGAGCAAAACGTCATTGTTGCTTTGAACATCGCTTGCATTTTACACTATGAAAACGTAGAAAAGGAGACAGTAACGGCGCCATGCCCCAAACAACCCATTTCGTTTCAAAAACCGTCGCCCGCGAAAACGAAGACAAAACAGCCGCCCGCTGGCGGCCAAAAAAACAAAAAACGGGAAACGGAAACGGCAGGCGAATACAGCAGCACAACGTCTTGCTCGCGCCCTGGTTCCGCATTGCACGGATGCCTGAAGCCGAGGGACCCGCAGCAGGGGCTGTTCGATACCCCAGCTTCGGTTGGACCCGCGGAATCGTCCACGTTTTCTTACTCGGCGTTCCGACATTGGGCGGAAGTCGGGGATGGACAGACCTCCCTTTAGTAAAACGTGGTTTAGTGAAAACGACCTGAGGCCCAAACCTGGCGGGCGCAAGCCTGGAGAATAAAGGCCGCGGCGCCCTCTCGAGAGCCGAAAACGGACAATCCACTGATCGGCATGTCACTGTTGGGGGCTCTGTCCACCCCCGACTACTCGGCGTTCCGACATTGGGCGGAAGGGGGGGATAAAACAGGAATAGGATCGGGGTAAATCGCTCCAGAGCGTTCCGGAGCGCTCTCAGAGCGTTCCGGAACGCTCTGGAGCGGCCGCGGCGCCCAATACGTCCTCCAAACCCGCCGATTCTCAGAGATTTCGAGTTATCCCGATCCGATTTTGTCCCGATCTTCGTGTCGTTTTGGGGGAGGGAGGGGGGGGGCGTCCGGCTCTGGACCTCTGCCTGGCGCGACTGTCTGCAGCAGTGTGTGTGTCCATTATGGGGGGGACTGCGCCTGCCTGAGACAGGCGCCAAAGACAGCCGAGATCCACTCCACGTGTGAATGGGGCCCTGGGGCACGCAAATAAATTCACACGAATAACAGGACTCCCCATATTTTCCCACATGTTCTGGGTTTCCGTCTTCCCCCCCGCCTCCGATGTTTTCCCACCTCTTCTGGGGAATCGCCGAGTACTTGTGTCTGCGTGCTTCTGTCCCCTCCTGGACACGGGGGGGGGTGGAGGGGGGGGTGCGAGGGCCCGCGACGATCGGCAAAACAGCGAACACAAAAAGCTCACATCCTCGCGCGCAGCGGGCGGCGACGGCGAGCGGCCCTTCTGCCCGCCGCCCATCCCGCCGGGGCCGCAGGCGGCGGGGGGCCTCTACGCCTCTACGGCAGAGGCCGCCCGCCGGCCGACGCCGCCGGGGCCGACCCTGCGGCGATGGGGCCGCGAGCGGGCCCGGGGGCCGAAGGGATCGACGTCCGAGGTCGTCGTCGTCGTCGTCCGAGGTCGTGGTCGTCGTCGTCGTCGTCGTCGTCGTCCGAGGTCGTCGTCGTCGCCGTCGCTCTCGTCGTCGTCGTCGTCGTCGTCGTCGTCGTCGTCGTCGTCGTCGTCGTCGTCGTCGTCGTCGTCGTCGTCGTCGTCGTCGTCGTCGTCGTCCGAAGTCGTCGCCCTCGCCCTCGTCGTCGTCCGAGGTCGCCGTCGCCAGAAGCCGTCCACGGGAGGTCGCCGTCGTCGTCCTTCGAAGCCGCCGCCGTCGGCGCCGCCGCCGCCCATCGGCGAGGGGCCGCTGGTCACTGGGGGGGGGAGGAGGAGGAGGAGGAGGAGGAGGAGGAGGAGGAGGAGGAGGAGGAGGAGGAGGAGGAGGAGGAGGAGGAGGAGGAAGGGAGGAGGAGGAGGAGGAGGAGGAGGAGGAGGAGGAGGAGGAGGAGGAGGAAGGAGGAGGAGGAGGAGGAGGAGGAGGAGGGGGGGGGGGCCGGCCCATCGCCCATGCGAATCTTCGGCCCATCGCCCGAATGCCCGCGTCAGGCGGGGGCGGCAGCCACTGGGGGGGGCGGGCGCCTGCTGGCGCCCCGCCGCTGCGCGGGCCCGAGCACCTGGAAGGAGCCCCCAGCTCGAGGCCGAGGCCGACGAGGCCGACGACGACGACGACGATGACGACGACGCCGGTGCCGCCCCCGACCCCGACGCCGACGACCAGGACACTGGTGCCAACGACGACGGCGACGGCGACGGCGACGGAGACGGCGACGGCGACGGCGACGGCGACGGCGACGGCGACGGCGACGACGACGACGACGACGACGACGACGACGACGACGACGACGACAGTGACAGCATGGCGACAACGACGATGACGACAGTGACCACGACGCCGACGACGCCCACGACGCCGCCCACGACGCACACGACGACGCGGACGCCGACCACGATGCCGCACTCGACGACGCGGACGACGCCAGCGACGACAACGTTGCGCATCCATCGAGGAATGGCGGCGGCCGGCCCCAAAAGCCAACGAAGGGGCAGCCGAGGCCAACACCGTCCCACGGCCAGGCTCCCTCAGAGAGACGCGGTGCGTACTGCGCAGCCCTCGACTCTCCCTACCCCATCCTCTCCTCTCTCCCTCCTCTTGCCGCCTCTTCACCGCCTCTCCACATGCGCTCCTCCTCGTTCTCCTCCTCAACATCATCGTCGTCGTCGTCGCCGCAGCCGCCGCCGCCGCCGTCGCCGCCGTCGTCGCCGTCGTCGTCGTCGTCGTCGTCGTCGTCGTCGTCGTCGTCGTCGTCGTCGTCG